GGACCATAGTGCTATATTCTCTGCCTGAGTCGACGCAAAGTTAAACCAAATTTTGTTCCCAGAAAATAGCCAAAAATTAGTCAAACTACTTTCTGGGAGTGTTGCTGCAATGCTGACTCATCTCACCAGGTAGCAAGGGTCATTGAATGGTCAGAGGCATCTATACATGAAACTGGACAATATGTAAATTCTAAACCACACTTGCTTGAAAAAGAGTCTGCGAGCTTTGCGCAGTGGCAGTGTCGTAGCCAACGCGTTTTATCTGAGATGAGACTATTGCTCATTGAAAACTTTCCCCAATACCCCGCCGTCATGACATGGAATAGAGTCGGCATTGACAATTTTTGACAGTCTCTGGGGAGAAGGAATTTAAAAAGACGAAACCAAAATAAACAAAAAAGAATCCGTGGGCCGGGCACGGTGGCTCACGCCTGTAATCCCAGCACTCTGAAAGGCCGCGGTGAGCACTTCTCGAGGTCAGGGGGTCGGGACCATCCTGGCTAACACGGTGAAAGCCTGTCTCTACTAAAAGTACAAAGAAATTAGCTGGGCATGGTGGCACGCGCCTACAGTCTCAGCTACTCGGGAGGCTGAGGCGGCACAATCGTCTGAAGCCAGGGGGCAGAGGTTGCAGTGACCTGAGATCGTGCAACTCAACTCCAGCCTGAAAAACAGAGGGAGACTCCATCTCAAAAAAAAAGAAAAAACAAAATCCCTGATTTCAAAGGACAGGGTGGGGGAAAAACTGAAGGTCTGGAGTCCAAGGCCAGCCTGGCCAATATGGCGAAACCCCGTCTCTACTAAAAATACAAAACTGAGCTAGGTGTGGTGGTGAGCACCTGTGGTCCCAGCTACTCAGGAGGCAGAGGCAGGAGAATCCCCGGAGTCCGTGAAGTGCAGATTGCAGTAAGCCAAGACGGTGCCACTGCACTCCAGCCTGGGCGACAAAAAAAGACTCCAACCCAACAACAGCAAACAATATGTGACGCTGCGAAGAAAAATCAGACCGGCCCTGGCACTGATGGCGTGGAGAGCCGGGCTGAGCCCTGCTTCGCGGAAACACATCGGCAAGGTAAAGAGGAAATGTTTTCATCCTGGTTTCAAGGTGACTGTGCAGCTAAGCAAGCTGACTCAAAAGAGATCAAGACCGACGCTCCGAGCAGTGACACCTGGGGAACAATATCGCCAAACAAATAGGCAAGGCTCCCAGTTTCCTTAAAAAGAAATGGAAACTCCATGAACATCGTTCAGGGACAGGTGACATAATGACAGGAGATGAGAGATACCGACTCAAAGCTAGGAGACCTGACAGACACCTACTGTACACCTCCTGCACTCAGGCGACCGTGAGTTTGTCACACCGGCCTGGGGTCTGGTAACTTGATACTTGGGCCTGGGAGACAAACGCATGGCGTGAGCTGAGGAAGAGATAAAAATTCCCTGACGTCTGCGTTTAGTGTCCCATCACACATTTTTATTCAAACCGATTTGTGTGTATAGAGCCTGCCTTCAGAGTTGATCTTCCTCAGCCTAGACAGAGGTACCAAAAACAAGGAATGTAGGGGTCACCTGAAAGAACGATTAGAGCATCCTCCACTACATCTTGAGATGATGGACTCTCTACAACAGGTGCAGAATCGACGCTGTCTTCCTCAAATGGGAGGTCATTGGTGTCTCCGTGAGGCTGGCTGGAGTCAGAAGGGCCACAGCTGTTTGAACGAGTGATGACACGTTCCTCCGGTGAGTCTTCAAGGACTCTCTTGACATCATCCTTCGGCACCTCCCCGATGAGCCTGAGGGTATAGAGATGACAAAAGATTCAACAAAGGGGGATCGGACCCCGGGAACCCCTGGCCGGTTTTCACAGGAGGAATCAGAGAGGGCTCTCTGAAGGCAAATGGGAGGTTCCCTTTCAGAGGAAACAGGCAATCCTCCTCTCTGCAACAGAGCATGGCTGCCATGGGAAACCGGAGAGAAAGAGAGCAGCTGGTATTCATCACACTGGGCAGAAAGGAGCTGAGAAGAACAGAGACTCACTTATCCCTGCATAATTCAGACACGGCACTCGGCGCATACCAAGAACCACAACAGCTGCCACGCCCTGTGTCTAAGTTGGGTTGAACTGAACGTATTGTGGCCAAGGGAATGGAGGCTTTTGGCCCATGGTAGACACCAGAGAGGGTGAGATTCTAGAACTTTTCCATACTTTACCAACCACTACTTGCTCCTGATTACTCAGCGTTACCTGGGGGCACGTGACTCCTCTATTTGCTCAGCCTCTGCGACGTGAACATCTTCATCCTCATCTTGGTCATTTTCTGCAAGTACAGATGTGTTCGTTCAGATACTTCCCGTTTCACACTCTGCAAGCACCGTCAGCCCAACGTGCACAGGGACATGAACGTCTGCGTGTGGGTCCCTGTTCTACCGAAAGCTCTCATGGTTTCTCTTTAACACAACGCCCTGGCATGGTTTCCTGATCCACCAGGCAATGCGTTTCTGATCCGGAGGCTCACCGTCAAGAGGAGGCCAAATGTTGAAAAGGCCTTCTGCTCCCACATCACTGGAGGCTTGCGCAGCCTCTACCCGGACTTTGGCAGCTGTCTCCCCCATCCTGACACAGATCTGACGCCCAGGGACAGGCTTGCCTTCCTGTCACAGTTCACATTTAAAACCAGCTTCTTTCTCTTAGGGGACGACAAACAAACTTGTCCCACAATCCCCTGCACATCAGGTGACTTCACAGGCCCTCCGAGTGGCTTCTGCTGTGTTATTCAGGGACATTCTCTCCACAGGGACTGCTCCAGTCTCAACCGCTTCCTAACCCCACATGCCCACACATCAAGTGCTGTCTCCAACACCACACGGCGAGGGGCTTTATCTCATTTTGAGAAGCGGCCGTAAGTGTTCGCACGTTTGAGTGCTTCAGACACTGCAAGGTATCTGCCTTTGCAGACGGAGAGAGAGAAATTTGCCTGACTTTGCAGATGGAGAGACAGAAAGTCGGGAAGGAGAAATCAACTGCTCACAGGCAGTTACTAAAAACACTGCTGAACATACAGCCTGGGAACCTTCATTCTTAATCCAGAGCTCTTTCCACTCCAACAACCGCCCTCCCGTCACAGCTTCCTTTGCGTCCTTTACAACTGGACACATGCTGCCTCTTCTTCCAAAGACCACCTCCCAGCAGATTATGTAAGGAGCAGAGTCCTCCTGAAGCTCCCACAGCGGGTACTGTGTACTATCACTGTATTTCCCCCAGGCCCCCAGAACACAGCTTTCCCTACTGGACCTCAGCAGAAGCCTGAACTGAATGGCAGTTCACGAGCCTCAGGCATTTCGACCAACGGACTAGATGCTCCTTGTCTGCAGGATCCTCTGTGGTACAGAGAGGATTCCTGCCAACATGATTTAGCCTCTTGCTGAGAAAAACAGGTGGTTCTGCGCCTGGGTCAGGAATCAATGGCTGAGATTTTGCCCTGAGTCCCACACCCACCTTACTGCAGACGTGGAAAAGTGGCTACATACTTTGGCCTCTCTCATCCCTTTTTAGCAAAATGTTAAAATACAAATTTATCTTTGCCTAGAAGTATGGGGAAAATGAAATAAATTCTGATGAAACTGATGTTCAGCTTCTCAGACAAAACACAGAACACTCTTCGGCACTTCGGTGATGGTGAACCTATAGAACTTACCTTCCGTCTTCAGCCGGCAGCCCGGGTCGTGGGCCGCTTGACTCATAAGAAGTTTATTTTGGCTGTCTCCGTATTGCCGGTCCTCCTCGTGATCTTTTCGATCTTCTGTAAGCAAATTCAGAAAAGCAGGTCACATTAAGAAAATCACACTTCACATAGGACCAAATCAGTGTTTAGTCACAGCACAAGCACAGAATTGTTCTCAGGGCAAGAACACAAATTCTGACAGGAAGATTCTAGGGTGCCCTGGATGAAGCCTGGTCAGTGGACGAGCCTGCTTTCCAGATGCACAGGCCAAAATCTCCCCGTCCAGGTGGACCATAGTGCTATATTCTCTGCCTGAGTCGACGCAAAGTTAAACC